TATTTTACATTTGTGTGACTTTCTTAAGATTACGTTGTGATTTAACATTGCTACGCATAGCTCATTGTAATCTCTTGTACACTTTTGTGTTTTCAAGTTCATTTATATTCTCACATGGTGTCCCAAACTGGATTGTACTTAGGACGAATCTGATAAAATGTATTTTCAATTCGTTTTTAAAAGAAATATATTCTGTCAGTAATTCGCTATCGTAATTAAACTACAACTGGATTCAATCTCATTCTCTCATGAATTAGTTCCTGTGAATCGATGAACTCATGTTAAACTGGACTTTTATCATGATAATACTGTACTTTAATTTATAACAGAACATGTATTAGGAAATAATTTAAGTTCCAAATGAACACAATTTTCAATAACTTTGTTAAAATGAATGAAGCATCGTAAGAATTCAGTATTTTCTGGGTTATAGACTATTGAAAGAAAAAGTAATTTTTCAGATATTTCCTTAGACACTAAATAATTCTGTCGGAAGCGACAGTTACGAAGTTTATTGCCCACATAGGCCTACTTGTAGACTGTGTAATAGAGAATACAATCACACATTATATTTTACATTATATTTCTTGTATCAACACATTCAAATGCAAACCAATCTTTCTTGTAAATATGTTAACAGTGTGTAATTATCGAGATCTTTATGCATGTTTATATGATAACTTCAAATGTCAAAATGATTATCTCACCATTCCCACATCATGATCATGATGGAAATAAATCATATGCCTTTAAATATATCTTGATGAACATGACATTTTCATCATTTTTTATAAATATCTGTAAGGCAGTGCAACCAAATTCCCCGTGAAGAGTCTACTTTTAGTTTACACCCAAGATCTTTTTCTTTGATTATCACATAAAGGTATCCCAAAGGGCGCCATTTTTTCCCGCACCTGAGCGACATAGAGATTTTTTTTTCTTCCCTTAAAAATAAAATCTGAGAAGCCCTCGTATTGTACGACGGGTTTTTCAGGATGGTGCCGAATACGAGTGGACCGGATTTAGTAACCTGGCATGATATCATAATAATAATAGTAATACAGTAAAACCTGTCTAAAGCGACCGCCCAAGGGAAACAAAAATGTTGTCTTTTAAACAGGTGGTCATTAAAGCAGGTTTGACTGTTTTGAAATAAAAAAAAACACAAAAATGCAGGGAAACCAACAAAAAAGGCGAATTAATTATTTAGAATACAAATTATTAGGCCTACCAAGACAGGTGGTCTTTCTATACAGTTGGTCGTTATTAAAAGCAGGTTTGACTGTATAACTAGATACATGTGGTACTTAAAAAAAAAAAAAGTTAAAATCAAAATCGTCTGGTAATAAAATAGAATGCAGGCAATAATGTCATCGAAATATTTAGTATCAGAACTCGGTCAGGTTTTTTGGGCTGTAAAGAAGTTTCAATTTGAAATTATTTTACAACCAGTAACTTAATGCGTGTTAGAATGTGGGGTGCATGTGTGTGTGAGTGTGCGTGCGTGTGTGTATGTGCAATGGCCTGCTACCCCAAACCTGCCCAGAGAAATACAACCTGTACAACGCAAGAAGGGAGAAGGGAATCTGCTTGTGGCCCACTCCCTGTCTTACAGATCACATGAGGACCAGCAGGATTCTCAAAATCATATTCTTAGGAGTACATTGAGGAGAAAATATATGTTTGTTTTTCCATCATACACCATTCACGCAGCAGTATCTAACAATAAACAATTAAAAAAATATACACACATGCTGCAATCTCTTCAATTGATCAAAATGTTTTTATTACAAAAAATATTAACATATAATACAGGCTTCAAGCAATGTACAAGAAAGGCATAAAGTTGAGTTGGTTACTATGACATTAACAAGCTGCTAGCTATCACACATCTTGATTTAAATAACACCTTCCAAAATACTATCAATATCATCTCACATAATATTATATAACACATTCAAATATTAGATGGATAATAGTCTTCCACATAACAGTCTAAATATGTGGATTAATGATGTAAAATGCAAAACGATATTATAGCAATGGAAATTAGATTAAAATTTAGATATGTAACAATTACAATGGAGTATTACTTCATGGTCATTAATATAATACTGAGGCATGAGTATAATTATCCAGCCTCTTAAAAATCTTAAAAAGAAGTTCAAACACCATCAACTTGCCACGGGTGTTGGACTATTACAAATGTACAGCCGGCCTGGATAATTCTTACTAATGCACTAACTGATGTATATCATTTGTATGGTCATATTGTCCGTTTGGAGCCAGAAGTGCTTTAACTCTATCTTGAAATATCATGAGTTAATGCCCTTTTAGCTCCAAACTGATGATGTAATGTCTACTGGAATAATATTACTTTTTTTGAATTCACAATACCACATATGAATGTCAAATTTGATCCATAGAATACTATCTCTCATCTGTATTAGAAATGAATTGAAAAGAGATGAGAATTGAGGGACAGATTTTTGAATACTATTATCTCTGTTTAATTTGTTTCAGGATAACTTTCCAATATTGGAATAATACCATGAGATTTTTGGGTGATCGTATTAGGACTGAATATATCTCCTGTTGAGAAACAGAAGGGCATTATCTCTATGTTAAAGAATATGACTTAACGTCCTTCTTGCTCTGAGCAGTCAACAAAACACAATCACAAACATTTTTTTAAAATTACCTACGGTACAGGTATTAATTTTCTAGCACTCTGGAAGTGCATAGGGCTGTTCTAATGCAATACGGTATGTGCCATTACAACAACAAAAAAACATAATATTTTACTGATATCTGTTGAGAGCCAGATAGGCGATAACTCCTTGTTGAAGCATGAGTTAATGCCCTTCAGGCCCTCAGCAGATTAATACTTTCATTATATGGTGTGAAGGGCAACTTCATACCTATTAAAAGGTGAAAAACATTTAAACAAGTTCTTACACCACACATTCACTGTTTTAAGGGCCAATATAACAAGGTATTGAAACTGAATTATTTGAAAATGATCTCTATTGCAAAGATTAGCTATTGCTACATGGGAAAAGCCTCACACAAATTTGTGACTCTTGGGGAAAGAGAAAATGGTTTATAGAAAATAAACAGATTGTGTTCAAATTGAATTTGATAATTCACATATTGGTTTAAAAACTTTTGTGAAATATACGAATGTACTAGCTACTGCTATGGGAACAATATTAGTTTTAAATATACATTTGAATAGACCAATTACATCATTATCGGCTCTCAAAGAGAGTACTTAACATACAAAAATGCAACTGTTATTATTATTATTATTCAAAATCAACAATTAATAAATATATTAATGAATCATTTACATCATTATTGGCAATCAAACAGGGTTGTATTTCACAAAAAGAAAAATTTCATGAAAGAAAATGCAATGGCTTGGTGTTTTTGTCTTTTTCACAAAAAAAGAACTCTTGTTTCAAGGTTTGTAAAACAATAATGTTCTGTTTTCTAAAATTCAAAATATTTCTTGAAATGCATAAATATGATACCTAATCAAGAACATAAGAGTATTATACAATTCACTCCTAGATCCTAATCAGTGGCTTGGTCATACGCAGTCACATGTGCTTCTTTTACTAAGACTATCCCATGTTTTTTCATTAAAAAGTGTGCAATAGTTTCCAGTACTATCCAACGATTTTTAAGTTTTAGGAGTTTCATTGTATAATACAAACGATGCATGTTTTCATTCCTTAATTACAATGTCTATCCGCTCTTGTCAGGCTGTTAAAGCACCTCAACTCGAGTGCAGATAGATCATATAATGAACTCATTTGCTTGCATAATTTGTATACTAATAAATATGCAATCAGACTTTTTTTGTAACAAATTACAATTTGAAAACAATTCAAATTCTTAATAAGGATGTATTTTAGTCCTTACAGATTTATTTTGCTCCCTTTCTTCCTATTTTAGAGTAAACTTATCTCACAATTCCTATTAATCTGTTTATAATGAATATGGATTAATTTCAAACAAACTTTTAATATCTGTCACTCCTATATTAATTAACAAAATCAAGCATGTGCTTTTATTCCTATAGATCATAGCATTACAAAGTACTTTCAACATTATATATATATATATATATATGATTCAAAACGGTAAAAATATATGTTGACAACAAAGGCATAGTGAAAACCTGTCACAAATACTAGTTTCAGTAATATTACACATAAAATAAAAATGTCAAATGTTATTCTTTGTGAAAGCCTAAATTACGTTAAAAGTTCAGTACTTGATAATATACTCAAATCAGTTTCTGAAATAAATATAAAGACATATAATTATTGCAATCAACTTCTCCAACATGATGAACAATTTGGCATAAAAAAACGAGTTGTAAAATGAGGATATAATTGTGCGAATATATCTTACAGTGATAAAATTGATCATCTAATGATTTTGATCAAATGATATAATAATAATAATAATTTGATACTGACAAAAAATGAAGTTGGAATGTTGCTCGACCAAGCCATTACTTGGCAAATATGAACATTTTTGTACAAATTTGACCTTCTGATCGTACAATCCTAAGCATATTTTCGAACTGGTACTCGATGCTGTAAAAAGATAGTGCACACAAAATTGAACTTTTGTAAAATCAATTTTCTACATGCTTTGGTCTATACTATTATTATGAAAACCCACAATTATCTAAATACATGTAGTAGATAAATGTATTTCCTAAGAACTGACATCACAGAACTGAAATATTCATGAGAAATTTTTGATATTTTCAGTCTGTGTCTTGTGTGCAGCCAGTAGAAGTAATATAGTCACTTTGAATGGTATGGTATCCTTAAAGAGACATACAATATCACAGGGGAAAAAGGGGGAAATTCTTCTTGATGAAAACAATGTTAGAAAAGAAGGAGATGATGATGGTGGTGATGATGATGATGATAATGATGGATAGAACATGGATGATAGTGATGATGATAACGATGCTGATGAAGATGATGATGATGATGGTGATGTTGATGATAACAACGATAAACATGGTAATTAAATGCCCAACTGGCATAGAACTGCTTTTAAAAATCTGATCAGAAACCCATGGACATCACACATTACATTGTTTCATCAATAGAAATATAAAGTCTTGTAGAAGAAATAGAAATGTGATCACTTGCAGGAGAATACTAAGAAATTGCACTCATCTATATGGAAATATAATCAATGTCTATAGTAATGTGAGTGCATGGAATACTCCATCTGATAAAAGCTTCTCATTTTTAAAGCTGGATTTCTGAAACATGGACAAGTTGAAACTCACAAGCTCTAACTATTTCTTTCCTATGACTAAATCCTCTTATGTGAGGTGTCTGCATAAATTTGCAAAGACAAGTCTCTCAGATTATTCTCATTTTGGAATTAAAATTACCATTTTTTCTTATAACACCATTGGCAAATCTTGAAAGAAGGGATTTATTCAAACAGATGATGGAAATTAAAAGTTTCATCAACCCACACATAATCCCAAACTTTAGAACATGCAAAGCCTCTTTCGCACGCGACATAGTAAACTGCCTTGAGTAAAAGCTGTGGTAAAATAAAAACAAACTAATGTAAAGGCTCGTTAACATATGACATGGTAAACTGCCGCAAAAACCTCCACGTTTTTTAACGTTTAAATAAACTACCAATGACAACAAAGGTCCCGTGCGTATTCACTGAGTTTTGTGTTCAAGATACTTTAATGTGACGTGTATATCACTCAGCGTCATCGTCAAAAACTACCACGGTTTATCCGCACATATCTGAACAGGGCCTTTATGGTAAATCTCAACTGTCTAAGTACAGATAAATATAGTCGTCAGACTTAATGTTTGGAATTCTGTCTACCGGTACACTGATCTACAGGTTTATTCTCATTATGTCTCTTCAAATAAAAAAAGGTTGCATTCGTATTTGAAAGAACTAAACATTTATTCCTCAATACATCAAGGAAGAACAAATACACTGTAGATAATGAAATAATAAGATATATCTTTAAAAAACCATATTCACATATTGAGTTATAAGAAAATTAAAATTAAATGTGAACACATCTTCATCACCTAGGCAACCAGACATCCTCCACCTGTGAGGACCTGTTTGGTACGATTGCTTCCTCCGGCTCTATTGGCTCTATCGACTCAGTCTTGGGTGAGGGGTGACATACCCGTGTAACAAAGTCTGACCCTTCTAGTACCACCTGAGTTGATATAAGGGGAGAGGGGGGCTTGGACGAGACCAGAGTAGGTCCATGGGCAGGGGAGGGGGGTTTATGGGCGGGGGAGAAACCATTGATACTAGTGTTTGAGGTTGTGGGTATTGTTTTATGAAAGGCAGCACTCCGCCCTGGACTGCAGAGGGCGTAACGCTCTGCCATGTTTGCTAGTGGTTCTCTTCGGGGGCTGAAGTCCGATCTGCAATACGACGACCCCCTGTTCGTGCTCATGTGTGAGCAGTACCCTGACTCCAAAGCGGTAGAGCTGTTCTCCACATTGAGCGGCTCGAGTTCATGGGATTCCCCACTTTGTAGGGTGGACGAATGAAAGGACATGCTGACTTCTGATTCCTCAACCCCGACGTTGCCGCAGGAGTTGGCGTACTTGAAGTGAGCACTGAAGCAACAGCAGCAGCAGCAGCAACAGCAGCATATGCGATCCAGACAGTAGCAGATACAAGAAGGCACGGGAATCTGGCCCACGTTGCCCTCTGGTCCAATCACGCGACACAGGGACTGGAAGAAGAGCGTGGAGTAGAGCCAGCTGATGATCATGATCAACATCAAGAACGTGCCCATCTGAGTGTAGGAGAGGATGCTCGCAGGCATCATCAAAGCACCTGCCACAAAGGTTGTCAGGGCAGCCATGCTGATGGCCGATCCCATGTGAGCAAGGGAGTACACGACGCGAGATTCGCGATCTGGCTCTGGTGCGATGCGATATGCCACCCCGTAGTGCACCGTGAAGTCGATCGAGAGACCCACTGATACGGAGAGGATGACAGACTCCAGGATGTTGAGTTGCCATCCAAGGAGGACTAGGGCACCAATGGTCACACAAATAGTGCCAGATATGGACAGAATGGCAAATAGGCTGATCACAAAGTTTTGTGTTGTAAGGAACATGACCACCATTGCGATGATGATGGAGAGACCTAGAGAGAGGGGTGTCCCTCTCGCCAGGTTGTCTTGAAGATTGTAGAAGTCCAGATAGCTGATAAACCACCCCTCTCCTAGACCTGGTGGAGCTGTCTTCAGAACAGGCTTCATCCAGCTCTCAAGCTTGGTCCAGAACTCTTTCATTTCTTCGTAAGAATGCGAGAAAGCGTAGGAACTGTCAAATTCAATGATCACTGCCTTCACAGCATTGTCTTGGCTACCGAATCTTGGTCCAGGTTTCCACTTGTCAAAGTATGACGGAGAGAACTGATGCAGTTCCGTTACTGCAGTCTGTAGGCACTGATTGAAAACTGATCTAGAGTAGGGGAAGCGAGACCCCTTGCAGCAGGGAGCATTGTTCATACCCGTCCCCACATCTATGCAACTCCTACTATCCATCCACTCACTAAACGTCTCTATAAAACAGTTTTCAATCTTTAAACTAGGTGTTGAAGAAAAAAACGTTTGATTTCTGAGTAATTTGCAGAATCTCAGAAGCCAGAGCTGTGATTTTGGTGACGCCATGTCAAAGTCAGGGTTAAGGACTAGGTTTCCAATGTCGTCAGGGTCTAATGGGTTTCCGCTGTCTATAGGCTCCACACCCCAAACCACTGTAATTGGGAGGTGGGCGTAGAGTGAACCACGATTCACTTTTTCGAACCAAAAGAGGTCTTTGAACACAAAGTCGTAGCGCTCAAATGGATGCATAGACCTGAAGAGCTGGAACTCGGGGAGGGTGGGGAGCTGAAGGCGTGGATCTAAAAAGATAAGGCAAAAGCCACCAAGCATGACGATGCCAAGCAGCAGTAACCACAGTAAACGGGGTTTAATGACAACACATGGCAAAATCTTTTGGAAAAATACTCGCGCCCAATCACTGAACCATTCCGTGCACCTTCTATAAATATCTACCAAATGATTGAAGAAAGATTTTTGCGTTTTGAATTTTTTCTCATGCTTCTGTGAACTGCAGTCTGTTAAGTCTTTGAAGTATATGTCCTCGATAACGACAGCTGCTGGAAGCCATGTGATGCTTAACACAAAGTGTAACAAAATAGCTGTGCCTGCATACAGACCAAAGCACTTGATGGCGGTAATGTTGCTGATGGTGTTGGCATAGAATGCTGAAGCAGTCGTCAAACTGGTGACGAACATAGACAAGGCTGCATGCCTGAGCGTCTCCATGACGACGATCACGCGAGGTGCGTTTGGGCGGTCCTTTCGCGACTGCTTCCAGATATCGCAGAAGACAAACGCGTCATCTGCGCCGATCCCCACGAGAAGAATGACGCTGGTGAGGTTCATGAAAGGGAAGAAGGGTATCCTAAAGACTGCAAAGTAGACAAAGTAGGCACAGATGAGGGACATTCCCATGCTAAGGACGGTCATGACAGTGACAAACAAGGATCCTATGTACATCCACATCAACAGCACCACAAACACAACTCCCAGGCAGGGATAGATGGCATCAGTCGTTAGGTACTCGCTGAATAAATCTTGCTTAATCCCAAAATACAATCCGGAGATTTTTGTTGTCTGGTCCCGTACGTCACCTGCTTTGAATTCATCATCATAGATAGCCCTGACGTCATTTCCTGCGTACACCGGCAGCACCGACAGGGCATAGGTCACTCGCTCGTTGTTAGGCCTCTCCACGCACATAAAGTCCACGTCGACCAGGTAGTGGAGTATGTGATACACCGCGTCAAATCTCGTGCACTTCCCCGGCACGTTCGCGCAGCTGTTGCTGAGAGATGCGCCCCCGTGGGAGCAGTCGTGGCGCAACTCTCTCGTCCGGTAAAAATGGGAGCACGTCCTTAGCAACTGCAGCGTTGCTCTCACGTCAGCGTTTGTGATGTTGAAGCAATTTGACTTGTTGTTGAGGAGGGCGACATAGTTTGGGAGAGACCAACTAGGGCAGCAGGCATTGGTGACATTGCTGGTATAGCAAGCCTTCATGAACTGGACGTGAGATCGGATGGTCTGTAGCTCCAGTCGGCACATGGAGTGAAGGGCCTCGGCATTGAAGAGGTTCTCTCCCTGGAGGGGTTCAAATACCATCCGTGCATAGAGTTTCTCTGGAACGACAAAAGAGAGAAAAAAAGGGAGTGAAAATTCCTAAAAGTCTGAAAGATATGAGTCACATTGTACAGTAGAATTATTCAGAATTCAAAATGTACTATTGTTCCTTCAGTAATATACCGTACACGTATTGAGTCATGTATGCTACTCTACATAAAATTTCAAATCACTCAGCAAATATATCATACAATAATAGGTATACGCAGTTCTATTGAAAGAATATATTGAATCTTTCCTTTATCTTGCCAAACCTATATTAAAAAGTAAGAAAATGTCCTGCACCAATTTTCTGGCGAAGAACAATAACAAGCTCTTTTATTACATAAGACATATATTTTACAGAGTTTTTATATATATATATATATATATATATATATATATATATAGTAATTTTCTTTCCAACCACCTATAGACCAGTGTCTTGTCATATCTTTTGCTGATATTGTTGTTGCATGAATACAGTCTTTTATCTGGTTTTCATGCTAGTTCTTCTGCTATCTTTTTTTCATATCAACATTTTTATACGGTCTGTCTCCGTTATAAGAATTTAGCAACCCTTAAGGAAAGCAACATTACCCAAATAATTACAGAACCAATCATATCATCTTGTAATTGGCACTACTCACAAAGGTAAGTTTTAATAATGTTTCATTCTTGCTACCTGAAAATACACTATTGCACTACTGGCATGAAGCTCCTCTCAAAGCTAAGACAAGTAATTTGAGATCTTGAATTTTAAATCTTAAAGGGAAATCATTATTCAGGAATTAGTTGTATTTAAAAAAGCCATAGATGCAATCAACATAGGTGCTGAGAACAAAAATTTAGGGGATGGCTGAAGGCAAAACAAATTTCCATGACTACAGATGTTTTCTATCTGTCAAGACTCTCTTAATGATTAGAATTTGGTTGCTATGGGAACCCCTCCAGAGGCAAGCAAATTTAACCTGCTTAGAAGGGAAGATGACCTATTTACCAGGAACATTAAGACAAGGAGTTTTCAGATTAAAAGATAAAGTTCATCAACAAGATGCTTTGGAATTGTAAAAGAAAATGTTTCCAAGAAAGTGGGTATGGTTATTTATGTAATACATAAAAATAATTGAGTACTGCAAGGTTTTGTTATTGAAATGATAATGAATTAAATCGATCTTGGTGAAAATGACATACACTAAAAAGAACTACGAACAGATATGGGTATAATAACATCCATTGCTTCAAGACCAGGTCTACAGTTTTTTCAAATTTTCTGTAAACTATACTAATACACATTCCAAATATATGACTACCGGTATGTTTTTAGTCATATTTGAAATATAAGGACATTTCTAGAGCAATCCCATTCATGTGATATTGCGACTATGATGTTCTCCAACACAGAAATTACAAAAAATATGAAAGCTCACAAATTATATTTCATCTTGAACAGCCCTTCTCTTTAAATTAAAAGTTGGAGGATTCTCAATGTGTAATGATGGATGATAATGAGGTCGATAAAAATGCAGTTAATGCCCTAGACAAACATTTCATTACTGATTCAATTGTATGTTAATTCATGATATAAACATCAAAGGGATTTCCCCTAAACTCTTAAGTGGCTTAAGTGGCTGTGACAATGCTATATATATGCAATACGCAGTCACTTGGAAATGTAGTTTGATACGTAAAGTGATACTGCCACATCAGAAAAGAGGTGTGGCATATTTCCTGTGCAAAATTTGATATCATTGACTATCTCATGTGCTTAGATACATTCTATCAAGTGTTATGTATTATTATCATTGTACTACTTTGCTGGTTTATTTCAACCATGGTAATTGCACCACATAAGAATTTTCTATACACAGAAATTAATATTAATACTGTACCATATTTGTAGTTTTTAAAATCAATATTCTCTGATTCTCTGACCCTGTTGGGGTATATTTTCAATGTAGTAACATTTTTAAAGGACAAAGAAAAGCTATTTAGCTCAGTCGACCAGATACATGTTTATTTGTTTACATGTTTTCGTAAAAGCTATCATATTTCTAGAAGAAATCAAAACATAGAAATACAAGTAAAAAAAATTAGACTCTTAATTTAGTTCATTGCGTGACACTTGTTCAACTTTTTGCGCCAAGCCTGTTTTAATTGATCATTTACACTGAATACTCTCTCTCAGCGTATAGACTCATCAGACAATTAAATTTTTCAAGGACGGTCCAACACATCACTCTCTCTCAACGCACATTCCTTTGATGAATCTCACAGGTATTTGAAGCGGTTCCTACCGAGCAAAAGGCGTGAAAATTCCACAATAATCATCAACCTAGCCCGATACCCGCTTCTCTCTGTCCTTGACCGTCCCACGAAACAATGCACGTGTCTCTGTTCTCACGTTCTAACACATCTGGAGTAGCACCATAAGGCTCATATTCAAACAAACAACCTCCTTTAAACTTTACATTTGGTTAATCTTTTATCAAAACTCACAGCGAAATGCCTATTTGCATAACCCAAATCGAACATGATGGGGAGGGGGAGGGGGGGGGGGGGGGGGGGGATCGATACTGCACGGTGTGTGCATGCTCATGATATGGGGGGCTATCAGCACGATGAGCAAATATTCCATGGTTAGCTTAAAAGCCATGAAATGTCTTTTTTTTCCAGAGTAAAAATGTATAAGAAGCAATTGTTCTGTATTATCTCATTTTTATTTTGCATGTATTAATCTTTCTGCATGAATATGAGAACTGATACAATGCAAAAATGGAAAAAATTGTACCCTCAACAAGCAAATAATGTCTGATCAAAAGTGAAAGAAGCTAAGAACTGGGATACAAGATTGTCTATATCTTTAAATGAATAAAACAAAATCTACTTTCATCTATAAAGTCTTTATTGACAGGTAAGATTATATATATATATATATATATATATATATATATATATATATATAAATTGAGTACGGTAGCTTAAGTTTCCATTATGTAATATGAATAATGCATTTTATATTTTGTTTTGTTTTGTTTTTCTCCTGCAGTAACCATGACATTTCATATTAAGGAATTATCTAGTACTCCACAATTAAGGTTAAGAGAAATGGAGATCAAGAAAGGGAAATCCTACCCTTTTAAGAGATTTGGGTAATCCTCTGGATAAGATTATTGGAACTTAGTTGGTTTGAGAATGACTGAACGTTTCTGACTTAAAAAGAATTCTAAATTCATAAGAATTTGTGTTTTTGTATTGATACCTGTACTTGTCAAGACAACTTATTATCATTGGAAGTAATGGTGAAAGTCATAAGAATATATATTCAATTTATTATGATTTATGTCTTTTCTTGTAAATTCACTTGAAATCCAATGCTTAGAGAATTGAAAAGGGATGCAAAAACAGAAGAAAACAAAATGGAATTTTTAAAAATGGCCTCCAATCTCCATTCTTTTCTGTCCCTTTTTGCTCATTCATTCTTCACTTCAAATTTTGTTTAAATTGAGGCAGCTTAAATTTACAACTATTTGTGATATTGAAATCAGAAGGAGTCTGAAGAATCCAAGGGTGATAGTGAGCACTAAAAAAAAATAGGTTTTTTGTTTTCCCCTCAACCACGCCCCCCCTTGAGTAAAAAAAAAAAAAGAGGATTCGCAGGGGAAAAAATGGCATCTAACAACATTCCCCCTTTCAAGTAAGAAAATTGGGAAAAAAATAGGGCAAAATAGGGATGAATAGAGAAAATAAGAGGGAAATCGGGAAAAACAGGATAAACAAAAGGAAGAAAAAAAATTGGTAAAAAAAAATTAAAAAAATAAAAAATAAAAAAAAAATCAAAAAAAATCAGGAAACCGATTTAAATCAGGTTTTTATCAGGCCTGAGAATCACATTTTGGAGCTTATCAGAACTATGATGCATGGGCTGCTATTATCAAGGTATGGTTAGAAATATAGAATGGTAATCATCTTGAGTTTCATTCATGAAGTGCAAGATGGGAAATAGAGAGACTAACGGATACACCGTCTCCAAAATAAAAAATAGGACAGAGACATATAAGAAGCTGAACTGGTTCAACACAAATTACGAAGAAACAAAATTAGGTTAAGAAGGATAAGGAGGGAAAAGAGATGGAAGGAGTAGTTGAAATAAGAGCGGAAGGAAGAAATAAACAAAAACAAGGGGTAAAGAATACAGCATAAGAAACAAATAGAGAGTATAAGAATAATAAGAGGAAAGGAGAAAGAAAAATAATGGTTAGAGCACACCTTGGTCATCATTATTTTCCTTCCTGTGAAATTGGAAAATCATGCTCAATTCCTGTTGCTATGGTAACCACATCCAGTAGATAGCGGTCAAACATATTGTAGGTAATTGATGATTGCTGGATACTCAGCTGTGCTATCTGTGTCTATTTAGTGCTATGGCTTTCTCTTTCACTTCCCCTTCCCTTGTCACCCATTAAAAAAATCTATATCATCCTCTCCTTCACTATCTTCATCTCCTTTTATCTCTTTTTCTCTCCCTTCCTACTCTCCGCAATTTCCTTTCCCTCTTCTTACCCCCCCCCCTTTCCTTCCTTCATCCCCCTCCCCCTCTCTTTCTCTCTCTCTCTCTCTCTCCCTCTCTCTCTCTCCTCTTCTCTCCTATCTCTCTTGCTCTCCATGTCTGACCGTGTGTCTAAATATATATCCTCTGTTCCGAGCCAGAAGGGTGTTAACTCTGTGTTAGAGTATATGTATTAACCCCTTTCTGGCACCCAACAGACAATATCTTCCTTTATCCCTTCTTTTCTCCAGTTCTCTGATTCCCCCACCCCTTTCTCTCCCTCTCTGTGTCTGTCTCTCTCTCTCTCTCTCTGTCTCTCTCTCCCTTTCTCTGTCCATTCACATCTCTCTCCCATCGCCCCCCTCTCTCTCTCTATTTATATATCTATTTTGTCTCTCCTCTCCCTTCCGTTCAGTTGCATATCATCATTCCAATTCTCCCCTATTTCAATGGATGTCTCTCTGGAGAGATATGGAATCACCTGGCAAGGCGATGGACTATGTTGCTTCCATTTATCCTCAAGTTGAAGGACATTCCTGACGGTGCCTGGGGTCCAACACAATTCTATTATTTTTACCCTGACCTATCGATGATTGCCAAAGACGTCACTAAGAAGAAGCAACATCGTCTGATGATAGGAGATGCAGAGCAAATAATCAGACGTCTTCCTAATCACGCTTAATCCACTGACTTTTGAATACTCCCCTCCCCATACGCTTACTACAAGGACCATTCGGTTCCCGGAGGCAAGGGGTTAACTCTCATTCAGAATGCATTTACGGGAATCTCGATTAATGAAAATTCAATAGCGTATAAAATTTGACATTTCGATTTTGTTGCAAATAGGATTAAAGTCTTAGAATATGGGAATTAAAAAAAGTGGAAATATGATCTCGAGGCCACGATTCATGTTGGTATTTAGTATAGAAAAAATGTCATTGATCAGTCCTAAGTACAATATTGAATGACAGAAGGAGAAAAAACTGGCATGTGGACGAGGGCCACATAGAAGAGGAGCATCATGGATAGCATTGGTTTTCTCAGCTAATGCAAGGCTACATGTGTTTGAAAACATTTGAATTAGTTTTGAGAACATTTGTAGATGAACTGAATAAGTGATGCAGTTCAATATCAAAGTATAAAGATAAAGGCCCCTGATGTTTCCATGAAAGCAAGGAAATTTGAATTTGCTGTTGTGTACTCGAAAAATGCGATCAATGTGTACCATGAGAGAGAAATTACTTACTGGGTGTCCCACACAGAGGGCCTATGGTGGCGGTGGAGGGTGCGAGGTTGCCCCCCTCATTCCATGAAAGCTCACCCCCATCCAGTACCCCTTTCTCCTCATCATCATAGCTCAAGGTCGACTCCTCGTCGGCCGACTGCGACTGGTTCTGATCGCTGGCCACGGAGGGGCTTGGGGGTCTGGTCAAGCCCGGGTGGGGAATCCCCGGTGGCTCCTTGACCACCTCTGCTGGGGGTCTACCTCCGAGCTTGACGGGGTGCGTGGAGAGGGGCAGACCCGCCCCTGTCTGGTTCATCATGTTACTCCAGGCTATGGAACGCTCACTGATGGTGGTGCCGCGAGGTTCAAACCCCTGCAAGAAGGCAAAGAAAACATTGAAATGATCGATTAAATTGCGAAACCGTGGTAGTGATTTCTAAAGCACTTGGGAAGCACACTTAAGAATTTATATCATCATATATTTAATATACAAAAAGGAAATATCATTGAACAATGCATATACAAAGTATATACAAAAGTATCCCTTTTCATTCATATGAAAGGCAAATAGGTAAAATCAATAATCAGTGAAATAATTCTGATCAATGAACATTTTGTCTGAAAAGCATGCAATTTAAAAAAGCCACGTCTTATTCATTTAATATTTGAAGGAGATGACAAAATATAGTTTTAAAATATAATGCAATGGCAAACAAAATCCCCTAAAGTGCCTGTTAAACTATACTTACCCCCCCCCCCTTCCAAAAAAAAAGGACCTTAAAAATTATCTATGTATTATTTGTAGCATGTTTTGATATTCTAAATCAAATTGATATATCAGTTGATTTAATATTACATTAAAAACAAATGCTCATCTCAGAAAGAAGAAGTCGTTGCAAGTACACACTGAGTAGAAAGCAACTCTTTCTTAATAGAAAGTACAATGAACTGCTACAACCTTTTATGGGGCACTGAGTCAGGGTGATTAGACTTTCAAAGAGGAAGTCAACATTGAAACATAGTAAACAACTTTTAATGCAAGCTCAATTTAAGATGCAGTTTTGACAGACACTGTAAGTCCAAATCGAGTGTGAATTTCACCTTCCAAATCCACTTAAATGATCGCTTTCGCTTCGACCACCTCCTAAAGTGGGTCAATTGGTGTGAAAACTTTACAAGCATGAAGCTGAAAATCACTTAGCAGATTTTGTAATGGGATAAAGACTATCTCGCCTTATCGGCCTTGGAGAGAATATTGCATTATCTGCTGTCATAAACAGTCGATAAAATTAATGTGGGTGGGAGGTTGAATATAGCCGTATTGTAGCCCTGTTCAGACGGAACGACAACTATATGAAATGTGTAAAAAGAAACGTTGTGTAAAACATCATTGTATTACAAAAGGGAAGGATACTAGACATGCTAGACACAATTGTATAAAGAAATTTCATACACAAAAAGTACTTTTCAAGAGGTTAGTTGACATTACAGCTGGCCAATCATCGGTGCGCACTCACGATAAGCCCCGCCCAGTTATACAGTTCATACAATACAACATTCACATAAGAACAGGACCCCAATATTTTAATTATCATTTTTTTTTCAAATTATGTTCAAACACAAGTTTTGCTAAATATCCACTATAGAAATTAATTACTGATCACACCGCTATGTGGGATTTATACAGCCATAAGATGAATTTTGTAGTCTGAACAGGGGTTACTTTACACGAAATCGACACCTTACTATCGCTGAAATATTGGATTGGAATGGGGAATTGTGAGTCATACAGTTGAACGACTTTTAAAATCCAAATGTAACCAGACTTGGACGCGTCAAAGCCGGCTTTCGATCTAATCCTACATGACAAACAAGGCAATTCTAGTCAAAACCAATATTGGTAAGCAGCCAGGCCATTCAACTGAAAGTATAACCAACTATACTTCCACATTTTTTATGCTGGGAGGTTGAAATGCAGTGTACCGGTAGGTGTTTTAGGCACAACCAACAACCTCTTTCATTCTCCGCCCCCTCCATTCCAACAATGATGAATATATAGACAAAAAATATTTACAAATAATAAAGTTTACATCATATCATAAAATAAAGCCTTATATTTCATCGTATTTTTACTTTGATGCAATGGATATTGTACATAACAGCCAGATCATTATGTTACAAGCAAAAGGGCATTTGAACACAAATTGTTATGACAGCAATAAATATATGCCCATTCATATAGCACAGCTACAAATACACTCTTACTCTACTGTGCTTTATAATAAAAGGTATTATGATGATCAAATTTAAATTTTTCACTTTTGTAAAAAATGGATAAAGAAATTTAGCAAAGTTCAGGTGTTTATGCCCTTTCCCTGTTAAAAATACAGACTTTAATGTGTGGCCTGGATATATATATATAGTCAGAGAAAGATTGTTTCTTTGAAATTGATGGTTCTAGAAATATACACTTGCTAGCTGTGCATCCATTTGCACACTATTGCCGGGCAGGCACACAACAAGATCACGCGAGCATTTTTGTCTTTCTCTAGTACGGATTAAATAAGAGAGGGAAACAAGATAGCAATAACAACAAAATAAATGTTTACTAGGAGCACAAGGATAATTGATTGTAACATTTCAGTGAATGGTTCCCCGTAGGCTGGAGATACACACTAAACTTGGTATTACAGGAAGCGTAAACATGTTTAATGACTGGAAAATAATGTCAGGTATTTCATCATAGACCAGCTAGGGTTCGCTATTCCGGAAACGACAGAATAACCACTAGGAAGACTCATCGGGCGATGCAATCAATCACGCTCTAAAAATACATTTAATTTTTTTGTTGTCTGCTGCAGGGCCTTTTCTCCAAGAGTGGAGAGAACCTGAAAATAGAAACTCTTACTCGGACGTATAGGGAAAGAAGTGTATAATTTAATCTGGTGTTGTGGTCTAGTGGATAAGTCACCGGACTGTAGATCACAAGGTACAGGGTTCAAATCCCAGCCCGTCACTAACGTCCTATGGCAAGACATTAACTTACATTTGCCACTCTCTACCCAGGTTTACAAGGGTACCTGATATGTTTGAGCGCTAGTTACTTTGGCAGCTCGGCAATGACCAGGGTAATATTGAAAATGATAGCAATGGATGTTATAACATATTCTTGCAGTTACCACAACAATGCCGGACTAAACAACAGAACAAAACAATCTAATAAACAGTAGGCTTTAAAGGAACTTCTGAATCGCCTTACAGCCTGTTAATTTAATTACAGTGCAGTTATAACTATTTTTGGTCACCATAGTGGCAACAAATTCCCCTACCCTCAAAAGGAATGAAAAATGTAATGAATAATTTTCTTGGTCGACTGGTTTCTCATCAGTGGGTTGCATTACAATTACTTACCATTCATACCATTTGTATTCATTAAAATTTTAATCACCAGCTGGGGAACACAAAGCTGTAAAGAGTAATTTTCATGGGTTTGTTAGAGATTCAGGAAGATTAAAGATGAGTTTTTTTTTAAATAAAAAAAAAACACAGAGATGATTAGAACTGCAATGGGAAATGAGCAATAAATTCTGATAGATCAAATAATGACACACCGATGTCACCCTTTGTTGATGACATCAACAAATGGTAACCATGAAAGCAAAGGTCGTTTGACCTTTTCAAAACCTTTTAATTTTGTTTAATCTCATAATTTTTTCATGTAAAGCAACATTGAGTGCTTGTCTTGATGGCTTTGTCTGGAAAGGGTGTGTTGGGAAGGCAAGAGCAGAATAATAAGAGAGGGAGAGAAAGGAAAGGAGGGAGGGAAGGAGGGAGGGAGGGAAGGAGGGAGGGAAGGAGGGAGGGAAGGAGGGAGGGAAGGAGGGAGGGAAGGAGGGAGGGAAGGAAGAAGAGGGAAGAGAGGGAAGAGACACTGTGAGATGCAGAGCCAAGTGAGAGATGGAGGAATTCATACAGAGAGCAGAGTAACAGCAAAGTGGAGGTTGTTAAAGAGAACAGATACAGAGATGGAGAGAGAGGGAGAGAGAGAGGGAGGGAGAGAGAGGGAGGGAGAGAGTTATTGGGTGAGGGAGAGAGAGAGAGAGAGAAAAGTGTAACACAGAAAGTGAGAGAGAAAAAGAGAGAGAATGATTGAGTATTAAAGTGACAGTGAGAGAGAGAGAGAAGAGCAAAAGAGAAAGTGACAAAGAAAAGATGAGAGAGAGATGGAGAGAGAGAGAGGGGGGGGGGGAAGGAATCAAGAAACTTGCTGACAACATGAGTAATTGCAACATGAGTAATTCTTTAACCAGGAGGATCGATGAATAAACTGCCATCTCTAGGCAACTCGACAGCAAACATCAAACCTGAAAGAACATTGTGGCAGTATTCAAATGCATAATTCATCTCATCAAACACCACATAACAGCATGCAGAAAATAACAGAGAGCACCACAATGGGAATGTTGTATGAAAATTTTCAAGTTAAGTGTATTCCTGCAAAGGATACAAAACTAGATGGAATTCGACTGCGCGCAGTCGAAAATGATGCCTCCGTCATAGAGCAATTTTACAAACCGAAACGGAAGAAATTTTTCAAATTCAAGTTCAATTGTAATCCATTAACATGTTCTCAGAATATCGTGATTACAAGCAATTTCTCATAAACATATATGACCCTTTGATCTTTGACCTCATGACCCTAAAATCTACTCAGTTCATTGGCTCTGCAAGATTTCCTGAGTTAAATAGTAATCCATCTGTCAGTTCTAATGAGAATGCGTCCACAAGCTATTTTTGCATACATAATGAGCCCATGACCTTTGATCTTATGAACCATTCATTGGCTCTGCAAGATACATAAATGATCTAAGTTTGGCAGGAATCCATCAATCTGTTCTAATGATAATACGATCACAAGCTATTTTTGCATACATAATGAGCCGCATGACCTTGACCTTTACCTCATGACCCCAAAATCTAATCAGTTCATCAGCTCTGCAAGTAACATACATGACCAAAGTTTGGCAGGAATCCATCAATCGGTTGTTCAGATAACGCGATCACGAGCTATTTTTGCATACATAATGTGCGCTGTGACCTTTGACCTCGTGACCCCAAAATCTAATCAGTTCATTGGCTTTGCAAGATACATACATGACCAAAGTTTGGCAGGAATCCATCAATCGGTTGTTCAGATAACGCGATCACAAGCTGTTTTTGCATACATAATGAGCCCTGTGACCTTTGACCTTTGACCTACGTGCTCCAAAATGTAATCAGATTGTTTTCCTATAGTGATACACACTATCACTAAGTTTGAAGTTTAAATCTCCAGTGGTTCTTGAGATATCATGATAACAATCTCAATGTATA